AGGAACGATCTGGACACAGGAAGGCGGAGCTGCACTCCGGTAAGGTCCGATCTGGACATAGGAAGGCGGAGCTGCACTCCGGTAAGATACGATCTGGACGCAGGGAGGCGGAGCTGTGCTTCAAACTTTTCAGTTGTAAAACATTTGACACTTTCAGTTTATAGAGCAGCTGTTCAGAGGAACAGTGTTTTTAAAGGATAGACACGGTAAAGAGTAAAGAAGGATTGCCAGGCTGAGCATCGCTGAATCAAATGTCAAATCTGTCCTTGACATTCAGTGGGCAGCAGTCACACTTCATGGGTAAACAGACAGAAGGCAGAGATGGAAAGATTGTCAGTGAAGCGCTATGGTCTGAAGGCCAGGAGTGATGGCTTCTCAGTGTACCAAAGCCATGATCTGTTTGCTGCATGGCCTCACCACCCTCCACTGGGCATGTGTGCTGTCCCACATTTACTAGATGTCATGTCACCAGAGTCCAAATTTATTTAGTATTCTTTGAAGGAGGTACTAGGAGTAGCCTTGTCAATTTGCACTGTCTAGGTGCCGGGTTTGAGTCCTACCATAGCTGTCACTGTCTGGAAGTTATGTCTCCTCCTCGTGTTATGTGATTGGTGGGTGGGTGGTTTGGCGTTTTGGGCCGTGGCCTGTCGCATATTCGGGATGTGTACCCGGTTCATTACCGCGCTCATGTATATCACACACTCTACGTCCGGCGTGCCATCCTAAAGTGTGCCTCTAATCATATCGGCAGGCTTAGGAAGCCTTACCTCCCTCTGATGATATCATAGCCTATGTATGGATGCATGATGCATCTACACTGGAGTCCTTGGGTGCACATGTAGAGAAAATGATCAACCACTTCAAAACCTGAAAATGAGAAACACTAGCAGCAGGTGCTCGCAGAATGGTTTGTATTCCTGGACGGTACCTTTCCCCACTCTCACAATTTCCGTCATGCTTGTCTTAGTTTCGCTTCACTTTACTGACCATCTCGCATCCATCACCTGCCCCCAGCAGTGCCAGTCCTTCTCATCTTCTGCTTCTTTTTGCTCTGTGTCTTGCCGCGGCTACATTCGTATGTCCTCCTGTACGTCGTCGTGAGTGATGCCGACTCGAATGCCACCCCCGGTGCGTCGCTGTGTCACGGGCATTATTCGTGTGAGCATCTCCTGCACTGTGCTCCAGTTTTAAATGGCCCATATCTCCTTCAAAAGCAGACCTGAGGCCTCTCATGAGGAATGATCCGGAAAGTCTTACCTCTACCGTAGGCTTCAGTTTCCCTATAAAGATCTGTCACTGTGCCAGGCCGGCCCACCGTATGGCCTCCCACATTAAGAGAAAGAATGTTTTTTTAACTGACCTGATTAATCCTGGTCATTAATTTCGATTAAACCCCAAGACCAAGGACATCACTCCTATTAACCCAGAGCTGTGCCGATGCTCCTGAGTCCTACAGGAAGGTTTGCAGCCACAGGCTGGAAAAATTATCAGATGAACAGTTCGATTCTGCGGGAAGATTAAAAAAGGAGCTGGTGTCTGAACCGACGCCGCATCCACATTGTCATACACCCCTTATCCCTGCGGTATAATCATTTTTTAGGTCAGCAATGGTTGTGCAACTCGTATTAAGTTTGTTTCATTAAAATTCCATTTGTTTTCTCTTATTTAATTTCCCAGAGCGGCCCAGAATTAGTTATACAATTTCCCATATCCTGTTCCCACGTCTTTCCATCAAGGAGATGCAATCTTAAAAGTGTTTCGTCCCCAAGTGGGGGCTTTTGCTGTTCCGTAATTAGAATAAATAACCACAGAACAGCGTCTCCCAATTAATGTTCAGTGTTGGTGCGTCTCTTGCTGATATCATGGTTCATTGGGCAGCTATGTCGCTCCACCCCGCCAGGTTGTGGGTTCCAATCACACCTCTGCCCTGTGTGTGTGGGGGGGTTATATATCCTCCCCTTGTTAGTGGATCCCCCCCCCCCCACAGTTTAAATATAAATTGGCACCTAGATATTTCCCGTAGCATATTGGAGCAGGTAGAAAAGCAGGATAACAGAAGAAGCACCAAGGTCGGATTTTTTTAATATAATATATAACCTGGTTTAGATGGTGACATTCTGAGAATAGCATTTTCAATAAAAAATATACACTCCCTGGTATATTTTCCATTCCATGAACACTATGCATCTTGAAGTTGGCAGTTGGGTGGTTATTAAAGAGCTTGGCTTGAGCCCAGAAGGTGATTCCACAGAGAAAGCACTGTTGTACGATTAATCAAAGCATTCTAGGTAAATTTCTTATAAATCCAAGTACCTCCATGAAAGTACAAAAGCTCTGCTGTTGCTGTTGATAGAGGGACGTTGGGTAAGCCTAGCAGAAGACTGCAGAGCATGATGGTGTCTCCGGGGGGGGTCTGCCTGCGCTCCACATCGGGGCCTGAGCGCCGTGTGAGTTTGCAGCTGCTCCACACGGGTTTCCTCCTGCTCCTCGGGTTTCGGGTCACAGACTGGCATGGTTCTGACCAGGTCCAGATCGCACCGGCGCATGTGAATGGTGTGATGCTTGCCAGCCACCCAGTGGTCTCTCCATGGCCACCATGACATTCGGACGATCAGTTTACGGGGCACTGATAGGCAAATAATGAATTAGACGCATTGCGCTCCTGCCTGATCAAGCTCTGCATCCATTCCAGAATACTCTAGGCCACTTATCCGTCCCATGGATCCAAAAAGCCAACAGCATGTTGACAAGGGCTTTGTCTGACTTTTATCTCAATGGATTATCAGCACTTCGAGCCGTGAACACCGGGACAGCACTTTAAGGGACAGCTGGACGTCAGATTCCTCCATAATACTGCGTTTCCTCTGAACGCCGAGCCACTAATCCCCCTTATCGCGCGACCCATCGGCACGGCAGGTATTAAAGCGAATGTGGAGGTTAATAATACTCAGGGGCGTGAGACATGGAGACAAACAGCTGTAATGCTGCATGCTGTCTGAGGCAGGAGAGCTATCAGGGCTCTTTGCTGTGCTGATTTACATACCAAAAAGCCACTTAACTGGAATTTGACAGCACACGCTGCAGGCATCACACAGATACGGGTTTCCGCGGAGAAACTTTTCCCAATTTCCGCAAACACTATTTTCTTCAGAGATCTTTACCGGTGGGAGCTCGAGGGAATTGTAAGTGAAGGGATACGGATTTTGGATGGTGTCAGAGGTCCTGGGTGGATGTTTGCATGCCAGGGGCCTGTAGCAATCATCCTAATCCAATCCCTGACTCATCCCAGATCTCAGTCACACCCTGAAGACATGGAGCCAGGTTCCCCTCTCCCATGCAGGAACATGAAGATCATTCCTTGGCAATTTATGGAAAACAAATCCATCCACCCTCCATGTTCCATCACTATCAAAGTTCTCATCATGTTCTACGTAATGCAGAAGTCAGAAATGGCCCTCCTGTTTCAGGAAGACTGCCGTCCCTTTGTCTTCCTGCTGCGGGCAATCTCCGAACCCTGAGCCAGAAAGTGGGTGAAAGGAGACCCTGCCAATGACACGATTCATTGGGGAAACATCACTAGAGCTAGAATACCACAGACGAACAGAACGAAATGAGGCTCCTGCCCAAGGTGCCAGACTATGAATTATTAATATATTCAAGTCTAATATTAGACATTCTTCTTTTGACAGGTAACCCAAACAGCGACGCTGATGTAAGGACTGCTGTCTGTTTAGACAGAGGACCCAGGGAGGTACCTGATCAGTGTCCAACACACTCACCTGTAGACCATGTAGACCAGATGCTTCCGTTAGGTGTCATCGTGGAGCGATTTTATGTCAGCGTCTGGATTCATGAAAAAAAAAGGCCCAGATTAAAATTCTGGAACATCTCTGAATTTCTCAGTCAAAAATTAGATTAAAGGTACCAGGCAAGGGAGGACACGTGGCAGGATGCCAGTCTATTGCAGGGCACACTGGCACACTGACACACTGACTCACTGACACACTGGCACACTGACTCACTGACTAACTGACACACTGGCACACTGACACACTGGCACACTGACTCACTGACACACTGGCACACTGACTCACTGGCACACTGACTCACTGGCACACTGACTCACTGGCACACTGACACACTGACTCACTGGCACACTGACTCACTGGCACACTGACTCACTGACTCACATATGGGGCGAAAATGCCACCTGCATACACAAAGAGTGGGATGGTATGCAAACCCCAAACACCACAAGCAACACTACTGGCCACTGTGACACTCAGTAATAATGAGAATAGTGCCGTTAGAATAACAACAAAAACAACAAGTCTGTCTGGTTTCCCAACAACACATTCAGGTGCAAATTGCATTGCAAGCTAAGTGAGTGCGCTACAGAAACAGGCAGAATCCTAAAAGGTACCCTGTAAAATCTGCGATAGTAATGGATGATCCCGTAATATACAGGCTAGATGGTAACTTGATCCATGCTTAGTTGTTCCTATGGTTATATGTCTTCCAGGGCCCATATAAAGTGCAGGGTAAAGAAGCCCCCCCCGATCGGTGCTCTTTTATAATTTCATTCACGGTCCCTTATTTGGGATGTTCATGAGGCAGCACCGTGGACCTGGGGGTCGCGTTCTAAAGATGGGATTTAGCTGCATTGAATTCTCTATATTTCATTTAATAACTGTAGGCTATATGCCAGGCTGCTAGCCAGAAATACATTTCGGGGGTGTAGTAGATTTTGGGGGAGGGGGGTTCAAACATCAATTTTACTACCTGGCTATGGACGTCGGACACAGTCAAATTTCAGGGTGGGGTCAAATATTATTGCGTGGTTACAAGTCTGGTATATTACGATGCCTTAACGTGCACAGGCGGGTCAAAGTATGGTGTGACCCAAGGGGAGCCAATGAAGAGACTAGCGACAATCAGCCAGCAGGTGGGAGCACTGGTTTTGGGTTTCGAAGCAATTTCTCCCACTAGTACTTATCACTTTATTCTTCCTCAGATTTAATAGCTGGTGTTGCACCTACTGGAAGACTATGGCCGTATCTAACAGAGAAATGTATCTCTCCACTCATACACCATTATTGGCTGGTTCAGGTGTATGTGTGCGTATACTCGTGTAACGTGACAACTGATTTGATGTCAGTTCATATTAAGATGTCTTTATCGATTACACGAAACTGGCACATTTATGCAAGCTTCACCACTTGCTTGTCAAAATAAACCTGGCTGGCTTTTCGTACAGTGTATCCAGCAGGAGGATGCTACACCTTTAAGGTTTTAGTGGCTGCTCCTGCACGTCGCTCTTTGAAAATCCCGGTGCGGCTTTTTCCTTCTCCTTCGCCTTGAAAGTTTGTCAGTGGATCTGGGATGTGAATGAAACGGAGGAGAAACCCAGGGGAACAGCAAGAGGAACGCGCTGCTTGGGGAAACGCGGAGGCAACCGACGCTGAACACAAACCGGCAGCCGACACGGCGATCGCTAATATTATAACTCACTCTCTACATAACTAGCGTGTGTTATTGGAAAATGCATTAAGGAACTTCTATGAAGTCGAGAGGATTATTGCATCCTTAACCGCAACTTCAGAGGCACGGCGCATGACAGCGACTATGCAGAAATTACTGCGATGTAGCTGATTTTCAAAGAAAAAGAGAAATCTAATCAAGCCATGCCTTTCGATGTACGATCATTAATGTTTGGGATTGTGACGGTACTTGTGGTATTTTTAATCATTGCTGATATTGCTGAAGTGGAAGAAGAGAATGGGTATGTAAATGCCCTTTTGCTAACATTTTTATATTTTAAAAAATAAACTATGCGCTACTTGTTTATTGATTAGAGACAGTAGGCTACATATGATCGTATGTAATCTTTACGCTTATCACTTCTTCTTACGGTAACATTGATATTATTCAATTATTCAAATAAGTTTATTTTACTGTTCGGGGTATCTAAACATCGCCCGTTGTTCCAGCTATATCCGCATTTTTCTCACGACTGAAGAGTATAAAGGTAGCAGGTGTATTTCATAAATGAAGTTATATCCTGCTATTAAATAGTTAAGTCTTGACTACTGGTTAATTTTTTGCGCCTTAAAATAAATGTTCATTTAAATTCTGAAAGACAGCTTATACAGTAACTGTTGTGCTAAGATGAAGCATCCTCCTTTTATATTTCAGCGCTCTTACAACGTACATGCTCTTCAGTAGTTTTATTTAACTTATTTATTTTTATCATATCATAGGACGTGGCCATGGGGAATATTGTGTAGAGGTTGGCTCTGTCTAGATGTGTGAAAAGCTTGATCAGAAGCAGCTTGATCAGTCGTTTACCCTGCCTTTCCCCCCCCCCTTCACTCACTCCCTCCCTCTCATATTATATACTGCGTATTATACAAAATGCACCTGGGCACCACCTGCCGCTTTCTAGAATTGGGCTAATTCATAATTAAACTATGTGGGTTACTGACCTTTTTGAGCCACATTACTGTCAGTTTACTTCAGTGCGGGTCCCGTCACCGCGACTGAAGGGAGAAAATGAAAAATGAATTTCAGTTTGAATTCAGGTCCCCGGTAGCAGTAAGGGTGGCGTGACGTCCAGCGTCGCCAGGCTCCTCTCCCCTTCCAGTGGAGTACTCTGTCCCTCTGGCGACTGTGGTCTTTCCAAGCTGTATTTAAAGTTGTATCTAGCTGGTAAATTAATCAAGACAGTTTGTAATTTCTGATTTCATGAACAGAGACAAATGAGACAAAATCTGTTTATTATTCATAAGTCCACTTGAGTATTCTGATCCATTACAGTCTCCCTCAGTAGAGGCAGATCATGAGGGTAATTCATATTAAGACCTTGAATAACATACAAATTCTATCAAGATCTTTCACAGCAGAGGTTATTCGATTTGTGAAAACTGGGCAGCAGGTGGCGTAGTGGTAAATGATCGAGGGGTGATTCTAGGATTTGACCTTTAAGGGGGCTCATCCCCGAGGGATGTGTACAGAAATACAGGACAAAAATTGCTAAATGGATATGGACAATAATTTTTCAGGGGGACTGAGATAAAAAAAAATAAAAAATTGAGTGACTGAAACCCCACCCCCCCAAATAGGATCTAGAAAGACCTATGATTGTGACCAATCAGAATCAGTTTTATTCACCAGGAGGTTTACATGTTCAAGCTGTTTTATTTAGTTTGTGTTTGCCTACAAATAACATGGAGTGTGTACACAGTAACAACGGAGTATGGTGTTGACGTGAGACCCACAGTGCACATAAAGACAGGGAAGGGACGATAGGTGAGGCTCACAGGAAGAAATATGACTAATTGATAGATGGCAATGAATAAGTAGTAATTCTTGTTGTGAATAGAGACAGCCCTAGGGGAAAGCTGTTTGGGGGACAGCTTGTTCCGCGTCTCAGAGACCTGTAGATGTGAGTTTCTGGAGCGAGCGCTGACCTGGGTAGGAGGGGTCACTGATGATTCTTGTTGCTCCTCAGCGAGAGGTTCTTCCCAGGAGATATAAATGGGGTGAACACTATGCTGCTTCTAATTAATGTGTTACCCAGGCAGGTGAATGCAAGCATATTTTTCCTGTTGGGGCTGCAGATTTTTATGGTCAATTATTAGGTTATTTAGGATCAAGAGGAGGCTTTGGGAGTCTAAGAGGCAAAACGCAGGAGCTCTGTGATTCTGTTCTGGCCGGCAGTGAGGCTTGTTTGCTCAACAGCTCTCATTTATTTGATGGCAAAGAGGTGTTTGCTGGGTTGGGGATTAATGTTTGATTTGTTACTGGCAGAGAACCTGACAAAATGAATAATTCACCTTTCTCCCGACAGAATCTGCTTCTTTGTTTGGAATTTCTACTTCTGGGCAAAAATAGTTCAGTTAAGGGCCATATTGATCCAATGAAGAGCTATAACACCCGAAATTCAAAAAACAGCAGCGTAGAGCTTAAAGCTGAAGTCATATTTAAAAAGAAAAAAATAATTCAATGCTGTGAGGGTAATTGTGTTTTTGTTAGTCTACCTAGGAGAAAATAAAGGTTCATGTGACCTTTTTTTAAAAAAAAAAATAAATGAAAATGGTTTTCGTTTTTTTTCCTTCCTTTTTTGTCTGAATGTCAAGTTAGGTGTACATTGTGAGTCTCCTAGGAGACCAAGGCAAGGCACTGCCGTTAGCCAGAAGAAATGTGTTATAGATGTGCTGGAAGACAGCTGTGCTCTCATAGTTAAGAGGCTGTGTACTATGAGAGTTACAAAACAGCCCCGTTCTACTTGTACGTTCGCTGTGTTTTTCCTGCTGCGGGTATAACCACGCCCACCAGGATTTAAGTTCATTTTGGCTAATGTCATCTTGATCTCTCTTCCCTCTAGATCAGGGGTCTCCAAATCCGGTCCTGGAGAGCTACTATCCAGTAGGTTTTCTATCCCACTTGGCTTCTGATGAGCCACACCTGCTCCTGGTATTTACCTGAGAACAGGTGTGGCTCATCAGAAGCCAGGTAGGATAGAAAACCTACTGGACGGTAGCTTTCCAGGACCAGAGTTGGAGACCCCTGCTCTAGATTCTCATGGTCTGGATTTCTGGGCTTCTGAATCTGTTTCTGATATCTGTGGTTTGGATTTATTTGATTGGTTCGTACACTTGACCTTGCTTATTGTTACAGACTTGAGTTTTGGTTGATCCAGTTGTTGAGTCCTTGTGGTCAGCACCTCAGCTTCCGTCAGCACTGAGTCCTTGTGGTCAGCACCTCAGCTTCCATCAGCAGTGAGTCCTTGTGGTCATCACCTCAGCTTCCGTCAGCAGTGAGTCCTTGTGGTCAGCACCTCAGCTTCCGTCAGCAGTGAGTCCTTGTGGTCATCACCTCAGCTTCCGTCATCAGTGAGTCCTTGTGGTCATCACCTCAGCTTCCGTCAGCAGTGAGTTCTTGTGGTCAGCACCTCAGCTTCCGTCAGCAGTGAGCCCTTGTGGTCAGCACCTCAGCTTCCGTCAGCAGTGAGTCCTTGTTGTCAGCACCTCAGCTTCTGTCAGCAGTGAGTCCTTGTGGTCAGCACCTCAGCTCCTGTCAGCAGTGAATCCTTGTGGTCAGCACCTCAGCTTCTGTCAGCAGTGAGTCACAGTTTGGGGTTTGACCTTTTGCCTGAGATCGTGCACTCTGTTCAGCATCCTGTCACAACTGTCATCTTTCCTTAATGCCTTCCTGTTGTCATGACAATAATTACGTGTGGAAGTAGTCGACACATGTCCTCAATGGGTGGAGAGATTTGCCACATTTCTACAAAGGGTAGGGAGATGGTTTCAGGAAAATATTCGCACTTTGTCTCATTTAGTAAAAAGTTTACGTAAGTGGGGTAATTTTGTTAATTGCATTGTTTATTTCCAAAAGCTGGGTCCATCCTAGCTTCACATCCTAATGTTCTCAACCTGATTGGAGTGTTTTTCAGCATGCAGTTTCTTTTTGGCAAATATTTCATATTTGCATAAATTGCTTGCTGTATGCTGATCTACATATTATGCAATTTGAATATTGCAAACAATATTTCGTGTGGGTTGAGATTAAATGTCAGGCACACAGCAGCAAACTGATAACCATAAAGGTTTAATATAAGCAGTATTCAGTACTGCAGTTTTCATTTGATCACTGTTAATTAATGGTATGGCTTACGTATGAACAGTCAATGTTAATTAACATAGTTTTCATTTGAGCAAACTGTTAATTCACTCTGAAACATTCCATGAGTAGAGAAGAATGACAATAAAGCTATTTTTATACTTTCACAATAATCTTCATGTATATTGTGAGCTGCTGTAATCAATTTTCCTCAAGTCAGGGATAGACCATCAGTGTTATACATATGCAGGGCCTGAAACAAATGAAAATATTATTGATGCTTGTCATGGTATAGCTGGTCAGTTTACTAAAGTTCATGACTGAAGCCAGTTCTATCACTAGGGGGTTGCTGGTTCAAATCCCAGGAAAGATCCTACTGTACTGTCCCCAAATTATGGAAGAGAGGCATCCCCAAATCGTGGAAGAGAGACATCCCCAAATCGTGGAAGAGAGACTTCCCCATATTGTGGAAGAGAGATGTCCCCAAATCGTGGAAGAGAGACATCCCCAAATTATGAAAGAGAGACATACTCAAATTATGGAAGAGAAATGTCCCCAAATTTAGGAAGGGACAGATCCCCAAATTAACCAAATACCTGCATCTCCAGGTACAGCAGCCATCGAGGCAACGAGGCATTATCATTTTCACTTTTATCATGTCTTCCATCAGTTAACGATTACTGGACATTTTCACTCAGTTCAAACAGGACGATGGCCATCTTAAAAATCAATTTCTGATGATATCTAAGTTATATTTCTAGGTGTAAAAACAAATTAATCAATCAAGATGTTTTCCAGTGGCAGTACCTTAAGTCTTGGTTATAGATTTTACACAGTGGATGTGAAAACTGCTTTCAGATGAGCACTCAGATGCATCTCACGCAGCAAAAAGCAAGCCTTGTCTATCTTGCAAAGTTGTTATGAAAACCTTGAGGGTTAATTCAGTGCAGCCGAGGAACGTATTGTTCCCAATGAAAGGATAGGAGGACATGCATTTAAAAATTAAGAGAATTTCTTTGTTAACCATACACAGACTGTGATATAGCATTAACTCTGATTTAAATCTAAGTACAATCTATTCAAGCACATGTAACCAACCCATTATGTACAAAAGTATTGGGACATACTTTTCAATCATTGAATTCAGGTATTTCATTCAGACCCACAGATGTATAAAATCAAGCACCTAGTCATGCAGTCAGGTTCACAAATACAGTGGTACCTCAGCTCTCGAACTCATTAGAACTCGAATTTCTCTAAAGTTGAACCAACCAGTTAGAAAAAAAAAAATACCTAGAACTCGATCTGAATCTCAGAAGTCAAACCGTGAACCGCGTGGGAGCTTCATGGAAGGGCTTCCATGGCCGAGCCTCTGCATGCAGGCCTCACATCACCAAGTCAATACCCAGAGCTGTGCCAGCGGTATGGCTTGGTGGAGGGGGGGTAATGGCATGGGGCTGTTTTTCAGAGGTTAGGTTAGGCCTCCTAGATCCAGTGAAGGGAGTTCCTAATGCTTCAGCATATCAAGACATTCTGGCCTTTTTCTGTTCCAGCATGACTGTGCCACAGTGCACAAAGCAAGGCCCATAAAGACATGGTTGGGTGAGTTTGGTGTGGGAGAACTTAACTGGCCCACATAGAGCCCTGACCTCAACCTTATCAGACACCTTTGAGATGAACTAGAATGGAG